GTTGTAAAGTGAAATTATTAATATTTTTGACATTTTTCGCTCAAACCAAAGTTCAGTGTTGGTTAACAGTTTTTGGATGAAAATTTTATCAAAAGGACATGTTTGATAATTTTCACCAAGTAGAGGGATATATTTGATGTAAAACATAGTAAAGAGGCATGTTTAATAAAACATCATAGTAAAGGGGCATATTATACCTATAACAATCCAATTGAATTGATTTGGTAGTAAGCAAAACAAACCATTTGAACATCTCTGGAGAAGGGAATAAAGAGCCACAGAGGGAATGGTATAGCCTGACCACCTGGTGGGTCTCGGACTCTCGGGTATATAAGTTGTGGGTTTTCTAATTTTTGGTTTTTTCTAATTTATAAAGGGCGAGGCTAATATAGAATTATGCTATTCACTATCCGCTGCGAGTTTGTGTGATTTGGTTGTGCATCACAATAAAAGTTTCATTATTAGATATAGTAATATGATAATTAAATATTGATGTTATATTTCTTGTCACATAAACGCAAAATTATACATAAAGAAAATTAATAAAGTGTTCAATAAATTATAAATCTCGAATACAATAGATTAGTTTGTGTAAATTCAGAAGAGATGGATTCGGAAAGAGATGGGAAGAGAACAAAGAGGTGGAGTGATTTGTTACCAAACAAACACCATTGCATGTCGTGGCTCCTCCAACGGCAACAACGGCAAAAAATGAAAGTGGCCTCGATAGGTGGAGGTGCCCGCTTTTAGTGAATCGATTATTCTTCACTCTCGATTATAGTCGTGTACTGCTAGGAGCTGGGTGTTATGTTGTTCGCGAGTTCATGGAGAACTGGAGATGAGTCAGACTAACCTTTATCAATTATTCCTCTCTTTTAATGAATCGATTAATTTATTCGACTATATTTATTGATTTGATTTTGTTATAAAATAAACATACACCACATGGACAATGAGATAGGTTACGGTGATTACTAAGGGCAAACGGGGTATGACAAAAAAATTATTAATTACCTTTTTTAAGAAATTATATATTAGAAAGTTAAAAAAATATATTATTTACAATTTTCTCTCTCTTTCTCTCACTTCCACAATCTCCGGTCAGATCTTTCTTCCTTCTTTTTCTCAATCTTTTCCTTGTTTTCGTTCAGCCGAACTATTACCGCTGCAACAATAAAAAAATACCAATCCATTAAAAAAATACTATCATTGCACAAAACACCAATATCATTCAAGAAATAAAAACACTACCATTTCACAAAACAACAATACCATTGCAGATTTAATCAATACCAATACATGCAAATCAATACCATTATATGATAATCAATACCAATGCAAAAAAAAAAAGAGAAAAACAATACCAATGCAAAAATACTACCAGTACAGTAAAAGAACACTACCATTTCACAAAAAAAAAAAAACAATATCTACATGATAATCAATACCAATGCAAAATATAATACTACAAAAAAACCAATACAAATATAATACATACCAACACGAAAAAAACAAATCTGCAATCCTTCGTCGGCTCTTTCTCGGCTCCTTCTCGTAGCAACACCGATGACAAAACGTTGACAACTCCTTGTCGGCGTAGGTAGATATATAGATATATATCTATATATATATATAGAGAGAGAGAGAGAGTGTGTGTGTGTGTGGAGGGTGGTGATTAGGGATGGCAATGGGTAGGGTCGAGTGCGGGTTTACCAGATACCCACTCCTAACCCGCCGGGTAGAGCCTCCTAAAATACCTACCAAATACCCACCGGGTATGAAAATGATATAGCCATACCCTACCCACCGGGTAACCACGAGTGTACGTGGGCACCGGGCCGTGCCGCCCACGGGCTAGCACGGCACGGTTAGAGCAGACACGAGCACGGGCACGAAATAAATGGGCATTGCCCGGCACGAGCACAAATAATTTATGGGCTGTGCCGGGCTTAAATTTCATGGGCACGACACGGTATATAAGTGGGCACGACATGGTATATAAGTGGGCCGTGTCGGGCCTAATATTTTCGAGACTTTATTGAGTATAAGAACGGACATGGCACAAAAATAATATTTATTTGATAGAAATTAAATATAAAAAGAATTATAGGTTCAAATATTACAAAACAAAAGTAGAAAAATAATTATTTGTTGTTGTTAGAAGTGTTATAAAGATATATACGTAATTACTAAAATAAGTAAAAATTGACAAAGAATTAAACAAAGCGAAATCACACTCGAAATACTTCTAATTTTCTTTTCCCCTTCATTTGTTACTTTTCTCAAACATTATCGGTTATTACTATCTTCCCCCGTCCAATTTTCACCTTCTTTTTCATCCTCTCTTTTGTTTTCGTCATTTTCATTAAACACGAATACGAGCATGGCACGAGCACGAATAGGCACGGCACGATTCGAACCGTGCCCGGGACTGTGCCGAGCCTAGCAAAGTTGACAAATGGGCTTGCATGGCACGACACAAAAACTGACGGGCCGTGCCAAGCACAATACGAAATAAATGGGCCCGAAGCGTGCCCGTGTCGTGCCGGCCCAAGCACGGCTCAGCACCCATGTACAACCACGAGTATTCGGGAAGGTGCTTGACGGCAACTACGGGTCGTGAACGAGGGGAAAAGGGGAGAGCAGGTCGTGCGTGGAGATGCTCGCTGGAACAGGGGGAGATCCTGGCGAGTGGCGAGTCGTGCGTGACCGAGAGGGAAGAAGGGGAACGGCGCGCGAACGAGAGGGAAGTAGGGGAGGCGGTCGGCGTCGTTGGGACTGGGGGCCGGCGGGGCTCCTCACAAACGGCGCACGAATGGAGGGAAGCAGGGGGAGTCAGTCGAAGTGTGGAGTGCGGGCGTTGGCTGCTGGCGGGCAGCGACTATGTTAGGGATTGAGAGGAACGACGCGCGAATGAGAGGGAAGCAGATTAGGGATTTAGATTTTAGGGTTAAGAGTTGGGGAAATGGGAGAAAGTGAAGACTATTGTCTTTTGGGTAGTGGGTGCCGGATTGCTTGGTAGGTTAAGGGGAATTGACTCTTTTGTTAGCGGGACGGGTATAACGAGCGGGTATTATCGATTACCATACCCATACCCTACCCTTTATTTTGAAATCAGGTATTACCCGTACCCGCACCTTAACCCGTCAAAGCGGGTAAGTACCCTCGTTAGCCGGTTACGGTCGGGTAGGGTACCCATGATTACGGGTTGGATTGACATCCCTAGTGGTGATCGAGGGGAAGGGCAAAAGGCGGGAATTATAGGTTGAAAAAAATGGAGAGGTTGGATTAGGGTCCGACCTTGGAATATGGTCAGCAGCAAAGGGGAGGTGGTGGAGGTAAGGAAGCAGGGTTGATGGAGAATGTGGCGAAGGAGGGAGACGGTGGAGGAGGCAGAGAGAAAGGGTAAGAGCGGTGGTGAGGGAGGGAGAAAGTGAGAGAGCACCGAGAAAATTATTTAGATTTTTGGATGATTATATCGATATTCATATTTTAAAAGTAGTAATTAGGCGTGGTTATTATTTTCGTACCAAAACTGTCCCTAATTAATCCTGACGGTCAATTAAAAAATAATGAGAATAAAGGGTGGAGATATAGGTAGCCATTGTGGCTACTAAAAAACTAGTAACCATTGTGGCTACTAAAAAACTATCCCATGGACAATGCTTTTTTGATAAAAGTATATCAGACTTGCTTTTGTTTTATAACATAAGTGTGTAATTGATTTTGGTAGCTACATTAGTTTTTGAGATGTACTATTTGTAGCCCTTAATTAAAAAATATACATTATTACCCATCATATTTAAATTCATTCAATTCACACATTACAAGACGAAAAATAATTCAAACACTTTCCCCAAACACAATACTAATATATCTGCCGCCGGCGATCGCCGCCACCACCTCCGCGCCTACACACATTAGATATTTTTGTTATTATTTTAGATTTTTTATAATAGATTTATGAATAATTTAGATTTTTCAGAATATTTAGTGATTTTATTGTAATTTATTATTTTATGATATTATTTGTTATAATATTATTTGTAGAATAAATTTTTTTAATTTCATTTTTTGATATTTTGAAACTAAGTTAATGTTACTGACAATAATTTAAACTTTTTAAGAATATTTATTGATTTTATTGTAATTTATTATTTCATGAATATTGAAATTATCATATTTTTTAGTATAGATTTGTTATAATATTATTTGTAGAATGAAATTCTTTAATTTCATTTTTTGATATTTTGAAACTAAGTTAATGTTCCTGACAATATTTTTCTTATAGGTATTTCTTGAAGTTGGTCAAGTTCGGACTTCTGAATTTCACTATATCATCAGACAAATAAGTAACACGGTCAGTGAGCTAAACTTTTAAATTTTAGAATTATGTTGAATTAGTTATTTTTCGTATGAAGCCTAGAAATTGATAATATTCTTAAATGTTTTTTTTACAATGATACATATTGTTCGAAAAATGTTGAATTATTGATTTTGTTAAGTTGTTGATAATTTCATTAGTAGGTATCTACTTGTTAAAAACTTTGTTATCGCATGTTGAAATATTAGGATTTGGTAGCTAATCATGCTTAATGTGCTAATTTGTTGTTGAAAAGCTATTGAATTATAACTTTATGTTCGAATATTGAATAATTGTTAATAACATGTTTAATATTTTTTTAATAAGAAGATAAATATAAAATCTAAGGTTGCAAATAGGCCCTCGAATTTTCTTAAACTTATATAAGACTCAATCCATATCAAATTGTAAGAATTCAATTTACAACAAACATTACAAGTCATCAAAAGTGTTCAAACTTACGTAATACTCAATCTATTCAAATCGGAAGAATTCAATCCACAACAAACATTTTAAAGTTAGTATCACTAATAAGATGAATGTCTTATTTTAGGGAGATCCGAAAGATAAGGGAGGCAATGTTGATTATACTTAGTTTTTCATAACAAATACGATATATAAGTCATGGAATGAAGCTATGGAAGCCGCGAAAATGATTGCAAATCTTGGATTCTTTTTGACACATCCATCAACCAAATCAAATGATGGCGAGAAGTACCCCCGAATATATATTCACTGTAATCGTGGATACAAGAACAATGCATATGTCCCAAATCCGGATAAGAAAGGACGATCCAACTTAAAGTCACTTCAAGATGGTTGTCGTTCTCGAGTGAGGTTGGTGGGACTCCTAGAGGATAAGACTTGGATGATTGATGGTTTGAAGGACAATCACAATCCGTGACATTTTTGTGGGTTTCAAAGCCATGCATTAGAGCTTTATCGCGAAGGCCACACTCAGAGGAATGCTTTTACTGATGAAGAGCTAAAGCATATGAAGGAGATGGAATGGGCTCGTGTTCCTCCTCGAAAAATGATGCAAACTATCAACCAAAAGTATGGTACTCACCATAACAAACGGCAATTTTACAACACGACAGCAAATATAAGGATTGAGAGATTGGGTGGCATGACCCCTTCGGATTGGACGTTACACCATGCGAGATAGATGGGGTACTACATTGGCTACAAGCGTGATGATGATCGCCACCTTACTCACCTTTTTCTTGCTCACAGTGAGTCTGTTCGGATGTTGAGTGCTTGGTACCATGTAATCTTGATTAATTCCACAAACAAGACGAACAAATATAAGAGGCCCCTGGTTGAGGTTACTGGTGTTACCACGTCAAGAGGAACTTCACCATTAGATTTGCTATTATTGAGGGGGAAACCACAGATTCTTATGTTTGGCTTTTGAGAGAGCTACTGACTCGCTTGAAACTACACCACAATTAAACTACACCACTTGGGTTTCGCTTCCCTCTTAACCGCTACCATGCTACGTGGGTTGGAACGATTGCCTTGGGCACGTTAATCGTGAATCGCAGAGGAAAGCGTATGTGGTCAGAGACCACAGTCTCGATTGCTAAACCGAGATGAGGATGAAAGGTCGTGTCACTCGACCCTCTCGGTTTAGACAATCGGTAATCGGCTTACTTCCTCACTCAACTCTAAGGTCGGACGCTTTAACCACGATTAATCGACTTGTTCAATTCAATATTGAGGATTGCCCTAACTCAACCTAGTTTAGGTGGCTTGGAAATCGGAAGGAAAACCAACTTGATTGAGTCTCCCTTAAAAAGGGGGATTTTCCTCTCTAAACTAGGCTAAGTTGGCAAATTAGATTACTAGAACCTAAATGCACAAACTTAGGAGTGCTAAGCACAATTATGCACAATCCCTAGGATGCTAAGCACAAAATATGCACAACCCCTAAGTTGCTAAGCACAAGCATGCAAAATCATGAAAAAAATACCTCAAACATTAAATTGAACAATGCCCAATATCAATCATCCAAACCACATACAAGAAAACTACATGGTAGGGTTTAGGGTTTCACTACACCCAAGTGGGAGGAGGACTACTCCATGGAATAAGTGGGAAGAACAAAGGAGAAAAAGGTGGAAAACATCTTTTGGGGATGCCTCCTCTGTTCTTCAACCTTGAGCTGGGATTTCCTTGGGAAAATCTTCCCAAAACATCCTTCGAAGCCAAGCCCTAACCTCTTCTTCTCTTTTGGTTCTGTTTCTTTCACTAAAATGCAGAAGAAGTGTTTCTCCCACAAAAGTGGCTCTCCTCTCTCTCTTCTTTGCAGCTCAGCTTTTAAACCTGAGTAGAGCTGAGTTCACGGCCGTGAACCATCAAACGCGTCTGTGAACTCACGCCTTGCGCCAAAACGCTCCGCATCGGTCCCGGCAGTTCACAGGCAACTGCTTGTGTTCACGGTCTTAGTGATCGTGAACACGCCTTGCGTCAGTTACCTTCAACTTGGCTCTGGATGCCTTGCGCTTCACGGTCAACTCCCCTTCTTCACTGTCTTGCACGATCATAAACTCCTGCCTTTAGCCGTGAACTTGCATTTTTTCACCTCTTCTCCCGGTTTTCGATCCTTTTCGCCAATCCTTCGACTCCGAGGCTGGTTCCACCTGTTAAATCCTGAAAAGCACTCAAACACGAAGAACCTCGCGTAAAACCAACCTCTAATGAGCGAATTTGGCACAAACATCTAAGCAAATCGGGGGCAAAATATGTGCAATTAGAACCGAATCAGCAACAGAACATGTTTGCCGATCGCATACCAAATGCAATTCTAACCGACAATGAGGGAGGATTGGTTGCTGCTATCCCTTAGGTATTCTCGAAATCGGCTCACTTGTTGCGTATATGGCACATAAAGCGGAACCACAAGAAGTTGCTCGAGGAGTGGTAAATGGTTGCGTATATGGCACATAAAGCGGAACCACAAGAAGTTGCTCGAGGAGTGGTAAATGGTTCTTGGAAGAAGGTGATGGAAGCCACCACGCCACATGCTATGATTGAGGAATGAGAAAATTTCAAAAATGGATTTTGGGGGAGGAATAGTAGGTTGATAGAATACTTGGATCGTGAGTGTTTAGAGCATAAAGAGAAGTGGGCTTGTGCTTACACTAACAATATTTTTCATATTGGTAACACAAGTACAAACATGGTTGAATCGGCTCACTCTACTCTCAAAGCTTGGTTAAACACTCTGACTGGGGGGTTGATACACTATTTTTTATCATGGCATGCTGGCATTGGGGGCAAGTGATTGAAAATAGGAAAGAGCTAGAGACATGTCGAACAAAGACATTCAAAGGAGACTAGGGACCACCCTACGACGTTATAAGGGGAAGTGTAAGCCTATATGCGATTGAGTTGATGTTTGTAGAGGGAAAGAAGACTCCGTCGGAATGTGATTGTGTGATTGGGAGGACACATGGGCTCCCATGCAGTTGTCGAATCAAGTCCTTTCAAGGAGCGGGAGACTAGTTTCAGATAGCACACTTGGCACCATTCTGGTCTACTTTGGACTATGTTAACCCTCAAGATGCAAGACGGTACGAAGACAATGACGCCATTGATCTTCAAATGTTTCATGATCTAGTGGCTGAGGTGTGTAGGCGTGGTACGTCTACAGTTCGAGCAGCCAAGGTCGCATTAATGAGTCAGCTTTACCCCTAAGAGGAATACCTTAGGGAGCCACAAGTGTCTACGAAGGCAGAAGGTCGGCCACCTAGAAGGGAAAATGCTCGTGATCCTTCTTGGCATGAGCACGCCGCCGCACGCCAGGTTAGAAGGAGCACAAGGAGGAAGGGAACAACCTTAGATGATACAGGTTATTATTGAATAATTTGAATGACTTTGTTCCGTTGATATTCAATAAGTATGTTTAATAGGCTAATAAGCTAATTATAACAAAATTTTCACCAACAGGTGCCCCGAAGGGTGCTCCTATCCACACAAAGAGAAAAGCAAAAACATCAGATGATACAGGTTGGTATTGAATAATTTGAGTTGTTTTGTTAAATCCCTTGATATTCAATAAGTATGTTTAATATGCCAATAAGCTAATTACAACAAAATTTTCACCAACAGGTGCCCCGAAGGATGCTCCCATCCACAAAAAGAGAAAAGCAACAACCTCAGATGATATAGGTTTGTATTGAATAATTTGAGTTGTTTTGTTAAATCTCTTGATATTCAATAAGTATGTTCAATATACCAATAAGCTAATTACAACAAAATTTTCACCAACAGGTGCCCCCGAAGGATGCTCCCGTCCATAGAAAGAGAAAAGCAGCAACCTCAGATGATACAGGTTTGTATTGAATAATTTGAGTTGTTTTGTTATATTCATTGATATTCAATAAGTATGTTTAATATGCCAATAAGCTAGCTAAAAAAAACTACATCCACAGGTGGCCCGAAAAGGGAACCCATGCACAAGATTGATGGAGTGAATGTTTTCCCTTACTTTCGCTTCATCCCATAAAGTGTCAGAGATCGATGTCTTGGTTGGTGGGACCCTGATCCGGATGGCGATTGCGGATTTTGGGCTCTTTCGCATGCACTTCATGGAGATGAGGACCACCACTTGTGGGTGTGAAAGGCTATTATAGATGAAGTCATGTCGATCCAACAATGTAAGGACGCATATGATGATGTGGGTCTTGCTCTTACACAATTACAATGGAACAAGCCAGAGGGTACTACAATGGATCATTGGATGAATGAGTTGGATCTTGCCGTAGCTGCAACATTATTTAACTGGGTCATAATCCTCTACAGTCAAACCGACGATACCAAAGATGGGGTGACGAGACCCGTTCCATTTGGAAAAACATTTTTACCTATGATAGCCAAGTCGGGGGTAGCTCGCCCTAACTCCGGCTACCAATGGGTGCGCCTTGACTTTGAGGAGGATTCAATACCAATGCCTCCATTCACCTTCTTGTAGACCCATTTCCGAGACAAAATGAGTACTCAAGGGTGGGAGCAGTTGTTCGAGGATGAGTTAGCTCTTTACTTCGTACTTGGGGATCATCATGACTAGTAGGAGATATTTGTAGTAGTATTGGTATATAACGACAATAGTTGTAAATAAGAAGTATTTTGTAACTCGTCTTATCTTTATATTTGTAGTTGGTTGTAAACGTAGTTTTAAATTAAAACTAACATAGTTCTAAACATAAAAATAATGTACTGAGTGATCGACACTCGTTCTCAAACTATAAATAAAAAACATAGTTCACAAACCACAAATAAACGACATAGTCCTCCAACAACAAATAAACGATTTAGTCCTCCAACAACAAATAAACGACATAGTTCTCAAACACCAAATAAACGACATAGTTCTCAAACAACATACTCCTAAAACTACAAATAAACGACACAGTCCTCAAACTACAAATAAAGAACATAGTTCTCAAAATACAAATAAACTACATAGTCCTCAAACTACATGAACAACACTAGCACTGAGGTGGAGGCTAGTATGGAGTCGTCTCGTCGTACTCTCTAAGCAACCCTTGTAATCCAACAAGATTAGTATGGTCATCATAAGGGTGCTCAATCGCAGTGCGAAACTCTCAGACGAGCTTCACAGCTAACTGTATAAAAAATGTAAATGTTAGTATGTTATTCGATAACTAATGCAATATTTAAGTTTGTACATAATAGCAATATCAATAACATAATAAAACATACATGATCATGACTAAGATGGTGGTGTATCTCATGGTCAGCAGCACTAGGGCAGACGATCCTCGAGTGGGTACGTCCCACATACCACTGTAGATACTCATCGTCGATATCTTCTGGTTTGTGGACAAGTCTCGATATTGAATCCAACTGCACTGAGTGGCATTGAGGTACCTTCCAAATCCCACTCAAGGCGGGACCGTAGGACAAGGAGTACATCTTGACATTCGCAGCTCGGCAAACATCAACTGGAGGAAGCGGATCTGAGGAGATGGCCTGTATGTACCCAAACTGACGGAGGCAACACGAGAGATCGTACATCTCCTCAACACTCATGCACCAAATGATACCAGAGTACCAAGAACGGGATATCATCTCACCAGGTCTGAGGGTGAATGGGCACCAAAAAACGAATTCATCTGTCATATTATCCAGTACTCGACGATAGTGATCCAACCTCTCTTTCATCAACTGTGCCCCACCTCCAAATCTCACCCCCTCTCACTTCTTAGCAAAAGGATCCTCGTACACAAATCCACGTGTCCCCAACTTTTGATCTCGTAAACACGGGAAGTACTCATAGATCCAGCTCTGAAGGAGGGTCAAACACCCACCCATGCATTTGCAGCCACTCGAGATGCCATGCCGAGTTTCCTATACAAATAAGCGAGTGTAGCAGACCCCAAGAATATTTCATCACCAGTCTAAGGTCCCCCAAGAACTAGAGTGGCCAAATCTGCGTCAAATCTCCACACTCCTGTCCACAAACAAGGTGGTCCCCAACAAATAGGTCAAGAAGATCCGTACCTCAGAATCCCTTTCCCGAAACCTTTCAACCTGCTGCATAGCTTCAACACAAACCAAACCCCCACTCTTAAGCGAAGGCTTGGATCGTTCACTCAATTGTGAGACCCTCAGCATCTCACACAACTGTGCTTTCACCCTCTCATTCCCTACAACCATATGTCCATCGACTGGAATCCCGAGCAGCACTGCAACGTCGTGGAGCATGATGGTCGTCTCTCTAAAAGGCATGTGAAAAATGTTGGTGTATGGCTGCCACCTCTCCACAAACGCCACAAGGAAAGGTCCATCCAAGTGCTGGATCGAGCAGTCCAACAACTTGCGCAACCCTGCCTTCTCAACCAACGTTGCAGCACCCTGACTCTGGAATTTGTAATCTTTCAAAGAATTGGTTGTCAATGCTCTAATCGACAACTTGAATGAATCCATTCGGCGAGCCCTTAAACCCTCATCCCATAATCGATAAGCCACATGACCTCCAAAACTAAAAATCAGGCTAGGATCAATAGGCCCCCCTGGCCCACTCCTGTCAAGAATCAACGAATCACCTTCTCTTGCCTTCTTCCTCTTGCTAGTGCTACCCTCCTCCGAATCGGCTCGTGATGACTCAAAACAACCACGAGGCCCACGTCTAACATGAACAAACTGAGAGGACGAAGAAGACACAAAAGGAACCTCGGGCTCTAATCTAGGTCCACTAGAACCATCTGCATTCGAATGGTTTCCCTCGAAGAAAGCCTCATTCACATCCGGGAAGTCATCATAATTGTCATCACAACCATCATACTCAGCCACTCCCTCAAAAGTTGTGTCTAAGTCAAAAGGCACGGGAACCGGGGAAGAAGGATTCTCCACAAGCCTAGCACGTCGATGCTCATTCTCTGCTTCCTCACGACGCGACCTCGATACTATACGGTTGGCCACCCTCGATGGCACTACCTCCTTCATCTTCTTCTTTCCTCTTGTATCCACCATTTTCTACCTGTTAAAATTTGATTTAAAATTATTGTCAAATTTATTATCATCATGTAATAATTATTAGCAAGGGTCATATGATAATTACTAGTTCTCATAGATTAAATTTTTATATTCAAATTATTCAATGTTCGTATATTCTCTTATTATAATAATATTAGTATATAATTTCAATTACAATAAATTTCCTGATCATAATTTAATGTTCGGATTATAATGAATTTCACAATAAATTCTAACTTAATTTTCTAGCTTAATAAAATTTTCAATTATAATTTAAGGTTCGTACTACAATTAATACTTTTCATGAAATAAATTTTTATATTTAAATTATTAAACTTTCGTATATTTATTAATCAATACAACCAAATATTCGTAATCTAAATCCAAATTGAAACAAATTTTATAAATCATAACACCAGTTAACTCCGATATAAAACTAATTAATAATTGTTTGTACCATCTAGCTCCGGTATCAACAATGATATTTGTTGGTGTGGGGTTGACTCACGATTCGTTCGTCTGATCTCGTCGGGAGGGAAGAAACCTGTGAAAAGTCGGGGTTGCCCCCCGGATTAAGCTCCGACGATCAAGTCAGTTTCGTTTAAGTTGAGAGAATAAGGTAGAGAGACAAAATGTAGAGAGATAGTGGAAAGTATAAAGTGAGGGGAGAGAAGAAGTCCCCTCCTTTGGAGGGCTTCAAGCCCTTATATACATGTAGCGCGTATCGCGCGTTGGGCATCGCCGACACGTGCGCCCTACTACTTAGTCTGTGCGAGGAGTATCTTAGTAACACCCCCCAACAATCGCCCCCCAAGCTGGTGGTGAGTTTTAACTCATCACTAGCTTATTATTTATTATTTATTATTTTTAAATCTTCGTCGGTAATTTTGGATGGAGCCCTATGTACCCCCAGTTGCCCCCCAGCTGGTGGCACGTTTGGCTTACGCGGTGCCAGCTTCATGCGTCATGCCCCCCGGTTGGTGTGTTTCATTAAGCCGTTGAGCGCGCTCTTCTATTGGAATCTCCAAGGCGCTGAGCCATTGCTTGTTGAAAATTTTCCAAGGCATTGAGCGCTCTCCTATTGGAGTTCTTCACACACACACAAGTGTGTACTCTTTCATTGGTGCGCTTGTGACAGCCGCACGATTACGTTACGGGCTTACCGCGCACGTTTAGTGCCCTTTATTGGAGATAGAGGTAGTTGAACACTCTCATATTGTAGATTCACCGTTGCTCTTATTGAAGTCTTATTTGTGTGCTTCGTTGAGACTTATTTGTAGATCTTCGATGCTCTTATTGAAGTATTATTTGTGTGCTTCGTTGAGACTTATTTGTAGCTTCTTCGATGCTCTTATTGAAGTCTTACTTGTGTGCTTCGTTGAGACTTATTTGTAGATCTTCGATGCTCTTATTGAAGTCTTATTTGTGTGCTTCGTTGAGACTTATTTGTAGCTTCTTCGATGCTCTTATTGAAGTCTTACTTGTGTGCTTCGTTGAGACTTATTTGTAGATCTTCGATACTCTTATTGAAGTCTTATTTGTGTGCTTCGTTGAGACTTATTTGTAGCTTCACCGAGGCAATGTGCCCTCTCCTTGTCGGGGTTTTTAACCCTCAGTTTGGAGTCTTCAAGGCGTCGAGAGCTTGGTGAGTTTCTCATCTCCCACGTTGTTGGGTACGTCTTGCGCCCCATTAGCACCATTAACGCTCAGGAAACTAAAATATTTAAAAATTTAATAATGATAGAGGGATATAGTACTTAGCTTTATATTGGCGAAGCGGCGCGAAGAGTTGTTAAAATAAGAGTGCTACACTTAAGGATCATGAGGCGCGTATGTAGTCTATTGGTAATGTTGCTTGTCTGGTGGAGGAGCGACGCGGGTTCAATTCTTGGCGGCGGCGATAATATTTTTGACTCGGAGTGGAGCATGACGTGGGCCTGCGAATGGTGGGTCAGCTGCAACGCTGGCCGCGAGTAGAGTCAGGCTCGCGTGCGGGCTTGGATCCGCTCTTGGCTAGTCAGAGTGAATTGGCCCGCGAGTGAGTGAATAGATAAAGAGCGTCGCGCTTTACTAGTAATAACCTGTTTTAGTCTGCTGGTTGACTTGCACGCCTTGTGGAGAAATGGCACTGGTTCAAGTGCTGGCGGTGACGAAAATATTTTTGGGCCGATCCGCGAGTTGAGCGCGGGCTATTTGCGCGGGTCGAGCTTGCCTTGTTGAGTGGCCAAATTCGGGACTGGCGGGAGCAGGCCGGGTGGGGCATGGATTGAGTCATGTCCGCGGCGGGCGGTGATACGCGCGGAGCTGCTTGCGAATGAGTTATTAAATATGGTGCCGCTACAAAAGTGTACAAGTTATCCTTGTAGCCTGCTGGTCGGTTCGCTTGTCTAGCGTAAGAGTGGAGCTGGTTCGAGTATAGGCGGCGACGACATTATTTAGCTCCATTACTTTTGAAGAATTCCGCGCTTGTGACGCTCGTCGCACCCAAGCGGACAATGAAGGCGGCCACGTGGAGAGAAAAATGGCTCCATTACTTTTGAAGAATTCCGCACCTGTTGGGCAGAAGCTGCGCGGGCGGCCAGTTTGGATTTGTACCAGCCCATGTGACGCTCATCGCACCCAAGCGAACAATGAAGGTGGCCGCATGGAGAGAAAAATGGGTCGGATGAGATCAAGCGGGCGAGAGCCTCGAGTTGGCCCAGGCTGGTGAGATTCGGGCTTGGATGCAGAAGGTGACGAGTTGGACTCGCGCGTGAGGCTTGGCCCGCGAATGGAGTCTGGCTCGCGTTTGTGAACATAGGCAGGCGGAGCTTGTTACACGGCACTTGGGCCGCGAATTGGAGTTGGAGCGAAGTGGACTCTTCATAATAATGCGTCGCACAATGAATCGTCAATGTGATGCTGCAGTGCACTGGTCAGCGCTCTAGTCTCATGATCCTTGAATGCGGGTTCGAATCATCGTGCAACCTTATTTCTTTTTAATAGGGTGTGTAAGGCCGGAAGCGGATTAGGCCAAATGTAAAGTGGGCCGCGGTTGTCGAGCCATGTGATCCGTGGAGCTAGTGGCGGACTTGAGAGGGTGGGTCGGGCTTGCCTTTGAGCAAGGCTGGATAAGAAGCGGGCCTGACTGTCGCGATTGTTGGTGGGATCTACTTGCGGAACTGTGAAGGAGCGGGCCTTCGAAGCGGGCTCAAGTGCAGTAGTAGTGATGGGGCACTGGACGCGGGGTAGCGCTTAGGGTCGGGCCCAAGACTTGGCGCGAGATGGTGACGTGGGCTTGTCAGAGCTATGCGACGGGCCGGAAGCGGTTGTTGGGCCGCGAGTTGCTTTTGCGCGAGTGGACCGCTTGCTATCGGACGCGGAGTCAGGTTTTCGGGTACGTCTTGTGGCCCGCGAGTTGCTTCCGCGCGAGTGGAGTTGAAGGATAACGAGAAACGGGCCAGTCCCAAGTCGGGCCGCGAGTTCTTTGCTAGCAGGTCTTCCGCGATATTGGGCCTCAAGTTAGAGATCAAGGAGGGCGGTATGGGCCGCGAGTCTGGAGGTTGGTCCTTACAGTCGCGGGTCGTTAGACGGTTGGAGACCGCGAGAGAAAAGGGCGCTTTATTGGGGCGGAGGCAAGCGCACAAGCGGCAAAATACATGGTTCTTTTTTTTTTCAATGACGTACCTTTTTCTCTCTTCCGCTAGATCCGACTCTTTATCGGCGGCGGACGGCGAGGACTTCATGAGTGGTAGTGCGCGGATCTGCTTTTTCAATGGTGCTTTGTTCTTGCATCTCTTCAATCTTCTTCCGCTACTCCGGTTTTTTTTTTTTTTTTTTTTTTTTTGCAACCTCCATATCCTTCCTTTTTCCTCCGAGATTTCTTCCTTTTGATTTGCAGGTTCGCCTGCGTGCGGAGTGTTTGTGCGGAGAGCTTCCGTGAGCCTACTTTGGGGACTGTGCCCATCTGTTTTTTCTGACAAAAGTGCAAGTGGCCATAAGAGAGTAGACTTGTCAACAGTCTCTTATTTCTTGATTTGCGGCCCCCCTCGTCTGCTTTTACGGACAAATTGGAGAGAAGGTGATACAGGTGACCTTGACTGCGACCGGCTCTTCTTTTCCTCGCCGGAGCTCCAGCAACAGTATCGCCAAACTGAATTTCGAAACTTTTCCTTCTCTTTTTTTTTTTTTTTTTGCATCAACGTCACCGTGGTGGCTGCTTGCGGTTTGCAGGTTAGTTCGGTGATGGCGACCACAAAATAAATGTCCAAGCTGCTGTCGTTGCTCGTAGTGGCGGGGGAAGTTGATTCACTTCGAGAATGAGCAGAGTTCTTTCATCAGAGAAGGTGAAATCCAGTTTGAGTGCTGGAGTGGAGAATGGAATGTCGTATCCCTCAAAGATCAATCGAACAAAATCTATGAATCAAGCCCCACGGTGGGCGCCAATTGTTTGTACCATCTAGCTCCAGTATCAACAATGATATTTGTTGGTGTGGGGTTGACTCACGATCCGTTCGTCTGATCTCGTCGGGAGGGAAGAAACCTGTGAAAAGTCGGGGTTGCCCCCCGGATTAAGCTCCGACGATCAAGTCAGTTTCGTTTAAGGTGAGAGTTGAGAGAGTTGAGGGAATAAGGTAGAGAGATAAAGTGTAGAGATAGTGGAAAGTAGAAAGTGAGGGGAGAGAAGAAGTCCCCTCCTTTGGAGGGCTTCAAGCCCTTATCGCCGACACGTGCGCCCTACTACTTAGTCTGTGCGCGGAGTATCTTAGTAACACCCCCCCAACAATAAAAATAAATTCTATCCTTTAGTAAATTTTGCTAATAATATTCGTAATATAAAAAATATTTAGTAATAATAATAATTTAAATTAAAAAAAATTATCGGCGACGTCTGGACAGGACGTCACCGTTGTCGGAGGCCGGTCAAACCGCCGTTGGGCGGGCCGACGGCAAGGTCAACGACCGTTTGACCATCCGCCAGCGACGGTGACGTCCTGTCCAGACGTCGTCGGCGATGG